GTACTTGTCGTGCTTGCGCTCTCCTCCCGGTCTTCTGACTGGCGTCATTCCCACTCTCACCTTCAACACGACATCTACGACCCCCTCGCCCGCAGCCTCCTTCCCGCTCCCATCTTTCCCAAGCCTCACGCCCTTCCTCCCGCGCCCTGCAAAAAACATCTTTCCCGCCATTTTACTTACCAGGGAGTCGACTCAGGATCTGAAATCAGACATCAATGGACTGGTTTGTGGGCAGAAACACACACACTCGCACTCTCGCTCACTCTCAAACACTACGCGCACACGCACGCACACATACACAGTGCACCTAGGTCTCACATGGACGTGTTCAAGGGACAGCACAATGTTAGGGATTTTTGTCTTAAAGGAGGACAAGCATCTGCTACCAACCGCCTCATCTGAGGGCCCCACTGATAAAATTTGATTTATCCTTATATTCTTTCTCCGAACTCCTCTTTCTTTCCTCTTCCACCACCCTACCCTTGCCGGGTTCACCCAGTCACTTCCAGGCAACCCTCTTGGCTTGCAAAAGAATGCTTTTGTTTCACCTTATGTTTATTTTCTTAAGCACAACTGTGTGTGGGTAGGGAAGGGAAGGCTTCTCAGGAGGGGACATGCCCGTGGATTGGGTGGCTAGAGTAGACTAAAGCAGTCATATGACGAAGAGGCGATCTTACCCATTTTGATAAGTCTTTATAAGGAAGAATAAAATAAACATGTAAGAAAATTTTTCCTTTTGTAAAAGCAAAAGCCACATCTCTTTTCTGGATCCTTCAGGACTGGGGTTTGTTTGCTTCCTTTTCAGTTTCTTCTCGCTGCTCTGTGCCCTTGGTTGTTTTGTGGTCGTCATGTCGTCCCTCGTGCCCCTCGGCCACCGCCCTGGCCCCTGCAGGTCGCCGATGGGTGCACTGGGACATCCACAACCCTGCAACTTTGTACAGAGAAACACAATCAGCTCTTTCTGCATGTGCTGGTCAAATCCAAACCCAGAGAACAGAAGCGCTTTCGAAGAATGAACAAACATGTTAAATAGGATGTTTTGTGTAGATAAAGCATTCTTGTTACATACTGGTCAATTTGTGATATGTTTTAACTTATTGTCTGTGCTTATTTATGGAATTTGGTTTTCTTAATAAATGTTTGAGCTAATATAAAGCATATTGACTTTTCCGGACAAGTTTATATCAAGTTAAATGTAAATGGATAAAATAAAATCATTTTCGGTATGTGATATGGAGAATGGTGGGTTTTGGTGTGACTTTGGATGGGGGGACGGGAAGAGGGCTCGTCCTGAGGGTTCTCAATTCGCGCTCAGTTGGCAGGCTCCCAGCGTTTAGGGTTCGTCCGCCCTTCGGTAGGCTTGGGTTCAGTTTCCGGATTGCACAGCCAGCAAGGCAGCGCGCTCCCCGCACAGCTTCGGGACTGGGAGGTCCAGTTTCCACTCCCGTAGACTGGAAGTGAGCAGGCCGGGCCGCAGGCTCCTGGAGCGAGCTTGGGGCGTTGCGAGGCTGGACGCTGGCCGGGGGCTTCAGGCCCGAGATGGGCCTGCAGCGCAGCTGCGGGCGCTAATTGCAGGGCCCGAGAGTTGATAAGCTGCTCAGGTGAACGGTTTCCCTCCGACAAAGGAGTGGAGGGCGAGCCTTGCGCGGCTGTGTGCGTGTGACGGCGAGGCTGTGGGCAAGGAGGAAAGATCACCGTGAAGGAAGCGTGGGGACCCGGAGCTCTGCCCGCAGGGGTCGCCCAGAGCTGCCATCTGATCTCAGGTACGCAGTGGACGTGAAAGGCTCGGGTTCTTTCTGTCCCTAGGGCCTAGGTCTCGGGCGAACGTCCGAAAGAGACGACCCGGACTCTCCGTCCCCAGGCCTAGGCTCTGCTTCAGATCCCCGAGACCTCCCAGGTGGGGGCAAAGGGCATGTCGGAAGAAGCGAGCTCAGGACCACATGGCCGCCTCTCAGGCTTTTCTCCGCCGGGCTGCTCTGGTTTTCTCAGCGTCCATACTTGGTTCAAGCTAACCTTAAATTTAGGCACGCGCTTGGGGGACCTCCCCAAACTAACTAGCAGTGAAAATTACCGTTTCTTCAGTAGTGGCGGAGGGAAGGTTGTGGTTGTGGTGTTTGTTTTGTTCTGTTTTGTTTTTTAAATTATTTTTCAATAACAGTTGACATACAACATTTTATTAGTTTCGGGTGTACAACATAGTGATTAGACGTTTATATACCTTACAAAGTGATCACCCCCCAATAAATCTAGTATGTGGGTGTTTTTTAAACTTGCAGGTGAATCAATTTACAGGCTTTCTTTGGAAGACTAACCAAAATCCATCTTGTGGTTTGAAATTTAACGGTCATTATAGGCTTTGAAAGTGCACCTTTTCCCATGGGAAGATTTCTAATTTGGTTGCCACAGAGTCTAAACCCTAAAAACACTCATCCCACAGTACAGTTTCGAACTAGTGGGCTGCATGTGAATTTTAGGGACGGTTGTAATTGTTACTCCACTAAGAGAATACGATGGAATCTTCTCGAAGGTAAAGACAAAACATGATTTTCTATGATAAAGAAAAGTCACATGTTAGTGTTACCTTAGGGATTTTAATTAAAAGTAAAATTTCGTGGTGGATTCACAGACTATTTCAACTCTGCATTTTTTAAAGGGTATTATTGATGAAATGTTAAAATATTAAAGTAAGACGATAAAACCATTTTCATTTGGGATTTCATGTAAAAATAGAACATTTCTGTATTTTAGAGCTCACTCTAGAATTTAGCAGCATAATAATCAAATTTCTAAAATATCTGTAGATGAAAAATACTTGTTTTTACTTGTTATCATATTCTTCCTTGTCTTAGGTTAGTACATTTTTTTTTATTATTTGAAATCATGGATACTGTAAGCTCAAGTCACATTTAAGAGATCAGTACAAATCATATATTGCTTCACCAGTGTGCATGGAAGGTTGTTTACAAGGATGCTAATTTTACAGCTTTTTTATGCTGCAATAAAGCATAACTTTATGATGTAGGAATGCAATAAAGGATGCTAAATGGAATCTTTAAAAATTGTATATCTCAAAGGCAAGGGAAATGGGATTTTTCATTTGGAAAAAAAAATGGGCCAACTTAGAACACTGATGAGAAATTACAAATCAACTGAAGTGATATATGCTTTCAAAGATACTTATATTTCATACTATAGTGATTATTTATCAATATTGTAATGAAAATGTACATTTTTCACCTGACCTGACTTCAGAATAATATTTGTTTCTATGGCAATAGATTTTTGTATTAAGAATGCTAAACATTTTAATGTCATATGTACGATTTGCATAAGGGGAGGCAAACTGGCCTAAATTGTTAAAGTTGACAGTTTAGCAATTATGAAAAGCAGAATATGAGAATCTCAATCAGAGGCCTGAAAAATATCTGCAGTTTGAGGGAGAAAAAACCTAACAACAGAATAATGCTTCATATTATTTTTTACTCCTTATTAGCAGTGATTCAGACTCAAAACTGTAATAATAACTAATTACATTCAATAAGGGAACAAAGACAATAATGATGAATAATACCAGAATGCAAGGTAGATAAGTACAACATGGTAGATGTCCTGCCTCTAATGAATTGTACTTTATGCTGAGTAGCCTATTTGGCATTGAATGCTGTCACCAGTGCTAGCTAGAAGTCAAAGTCTATTATGATGTAACTATATGATTGATTTATTTGAGTATACATATTCATCCTTGTATATTTATTTTCTTCTTAATATTGGTGCTAAATATCATACATGGCACACAAGTGATGGCATAGTAATGATGTTGTACTTAGTTTACCTTTTGTTGATGGCAGAATAAATAGGATGTAGGAATTCAACCTGCTAAAGATGATGTTAGAGATTGAATACAAACTAGATGCAGAACAGTTTGAGTAAATCAAGGTAGTTGTGAATGGAGAATACAGAAGACATCCTGACTTTGGTGTAATTTATGTTTGAAGCCCTCAGTGACTGATTCCCCTTAAAATGAAAATGTTTTTAATTTGTATCCTGGTCTTTACATTTGAATTTTTAGGATCAAGGAAAAACAGCCCACCAAGATGTGTCTTCCAGTAATGGCCGTAGTTAACCTGTCAGTTGAAAGAATGTAACCTTCCTTTTCTCCTTTTCATGACATAAAGGTAATCTCATCTGAGGGCATTTATGTGAAGAAATAACAGCATGGCATGGTGAAACTACTGGCTCATTAATCCTGGCATCTACTTCCTACAGGGTTTCTTGATTACTTAGATTCATTCATCAGGCATTTTGGAGTTTTTGATTTGTCACCATTGGATAGGTTCACTGAGTTCAGGCTAAATTGAGCCAGAAGCAATGTTTATTAGTAATTTTGTAGTACAGGATACCCTAATAATTCAGCCCAAATATCTCATCTGAAAAATATCCATTCGCCCTCACTTCTAATGTGGGTTGCAGCTGTGTTCATAGGGAATTGAAAGAACACAAGTGATTGGGCATGTATTTTCTAAATTATTAATATGATGGCTAATAGCTGTAAACCCATCTTCATATACAATGCAGAAATTATGATTCATTTAAAAAATGAAAGCAGCAATGGAAGGGGGGCACCTGCCTGGCCCTCTGCTAGCGCTCACCGGTGCAGAGCATTTGGTACAGGAACCAGGGCCCACTGAGCATGTGGTCATTACAGGGAGAAACAGAACAGTGCCTTTCGCTTTC